CCTTCTGGAGCAGTTAATGTCGCTGTGGATGCCCCTGACATGGCATTAAAAGCAAGCCACCATTTCTTCTGTCCTACCCAACGCAATGAAGGAAGTCTGGAGGTCCTGAGAGATTCCACGAAACATCAGCCTCTGCAGGGCAAATAGACCAAACCTCTCCAACCTCAGCATCTCATCTTTTGAAACGTTAATAGAATTAAAATGAACACTTGCTAATGGCTGCCTTTAGAAATATTATTAAAATGGGTGGCAGTCAGTAGTGTGTTTTGTCATGCAATTATGCAGGCTTTCTCTATGACCCTTCTGATGTTGCTGGACAACTCCCATCATCCTGGGCAGCTGGGCCTTCTAGATGTGAGAGCCCCACAAAATGCAGAGGACTGTATTAATTTGTTCAAGAGGGGCAGGCAAGGAATGAAAAGAGGAAGGGGGGGCACGATGAGTTCACTTTTCCTTTGCTTTTATTGAGATTCATTACTGCAAAAAAAAAAAAAAGAAGGTAATTACATTGTCATCAGCAAGTGAGCTCATTTGCTTCATGAAGCAATATTTACAGTTTTGTACCTCCCCCCATGTCTCTAACCCTGAAATATAATTAAAAATCCAGCACTTGGTCAATGGTGAGATCTAGTCTCTGAGGCTTTGGTTAAAACCCAAGTGTTGCTGTTAGTTCATAGGGGTGAACACTGAGGAGATTTTTTTCCTCACCTTTGCTCTCTAATTAGAAATCAAGGGAAATGGCAAAAAACTCACGCCGCAGCAGAGGTGACAAGGAATGGAGGAAAAAACATATTTATACAGCACGCAAAAAAAAAGTGTGCTGAAGTTTCACATCTATTTTGAACTATACCAAAGTATGTGGTAATGCTTCCTTTATTTTTTAAGAAAATGTAATCAGTCTGCAGGCTAACCCTGAATGATTTTAAAGAGGAGTTTATAAAGTGTCTGTACAGCGGAATTTTTTTTTAAGCTTTTGTGCTTGCTTGTACCTATAGCAAAAATTCTCCTTCTTACATGTCTATCCTGCACTGACTTCACAAGGCTAATCGTGGATGGAATTCTTTTTAACGAAAGCTAAAATAATCAATACATAAAAAATAAACCACGTAACAATGAACAGCATCCCAGAACAAACCCGTAAATAGGAATCATGATTGCTTTTAAATGTGGATCAAGGCACTTGGCTGAAAATTCCAGATGTTGGAACCCAATGATGACCGCCATGTTGAAAAGTGCTCTTTTCATTCACAGACCATTTTGACACAAGCCCGGATCTACTTACTAGTCTTTATACCCTAAGTCCCATCCCTCTTCCTTGACTCGGTGTCCTCCAGAGATACACAACTCCCATCATCCCAGCCCAGTCCAATCAATGAGTGTGCTGGCTGAAGGAATGGCGTGGGTTAAAATCCAACACATCTGCAAGGCTGGGGGGTGGAGAAGCCTGCTTTAGAAACCCATTTTACCAGATAATCATAATCTTAACTTTCCCTGACAAAAAGGCAGGAAAGATTAGCACAAAAACACCCCAGGAAATCCCTGTATACAGTAATTTCACCAATGTAAATGGATTGCACATAGAATATAATAATAGCCAAGGCATGTGATGTTGAGTCATTTGATGTCTGAAACAGCTGCTTCAGAATCCTTCTCGATCATCCTCACTCATTCGGCAAGCACGTACCGGAAGGCAGCCGTGATATTTTGCTGATATTTTGAAAAATATGTACAACCCAGAACCTATGGCATGATGAATGCAGGGGGAGGTTGCTAGCAGTAGATTCTACTTTTCAAGGCATCACACCATGTTTGTGTCATACCTCTGTGCATTTTTTTTTTTTAAATCGTCACATCCATCCTCTAGATAACAACATTCCGAAAAGAGAATGCTAAAGCAACTGTTAATCATTTTGCTTAGCAAGCATCAAACCAGGCTGATCGTAAATCTCAGCGCAAATCTAACCCCCCCCCCAATTATTAAATGCTATAAATTAAGCAGAGCTGCCATTGTTTAAATCTGCGCCTACTTGACTTTGGCTTATCCCAAGCAGAGATAAGCTGCATTAATACTTGAACCGGAGGCCACTAAGAAATCCACGGTTGGTAGGCTAGACCAGGAAGAAATACATACATGAATCAACATTCCAGAAGGCCATGACAGAACCCTTCCATAGCATTACCAAACCAACAACTGCATGGAGTCATCCATGAAATGATAGGATTTTATCTGGAATGATGTTTCTATTAGGGGATTAATCTTTTCTTACTACCTTTTGTAGCAATGCTTGTCATAGCAATTTGATCTGCACTAAGTAGCAGCTGTATTTCTTAGCTCCATGCCATGAAATGCTCCTTCACCTATGAACTTTGGCATCTTGATTTTGTGCATTGGGTGTGCTTTTTCCAATCAGTGTAACAGATAACCACCACCAACTCCCAGTGTTTACTTCTACATCGTGAGAAGTTTCTCCTGATTTCCCTACAACAAGCTTCCATTAAAGATATAAGAGTAACCTGACCATTTTCTCAGTCTTTTGGCACATCCAGATGTAAGCTGCTGCTATTAATGAGCATTATCGTTGTGATTGTCATTTATGCTTCGTTTTTTCTACATGTGATGCATGTTCTTGTAATGCTCTGTGATCCTCCTAATAGGATCCTTACAAGGTAGGTTGATTTCTGATTGTATTCACACATCCCACTGAGCTATAATGTGGTCGGATTTGGACCCAGAGTCTTGTGTGGATCTAGCTAACCCAAAGTTTATTAAAAAGGCCCTGGAAAAGCAAACGATGTTTAGCATGAATGAACTAGGTCAATGACTGTTTCATGATAACCCCTTGAGATTCACAGTTGAATGGAGTTCGAACCTGAATCTGCTCAATTTTAGACTAACCACCACACCATATTAGCATAGGAATTCAAAGTGGTTGAAGACAATGGAGCAAGAAGCTAATGGTAACTGTCAGGAAGAATGAGAGGAAGTATTTGCTGCAGATTTTAAGGTGGAGTGTGTGTGTGTTCATCACATTTCTTTGCTTTCAGCAGCTTGATAAAAAGTGCTCTGAGGTGTATGAAAATATAATGGGAGGCAATCACAGGTGTGCTCCTATATGGAAAAGACTAACTCAAAGCCAGAGGGTTGTTTTACATGCTGAATAATTCCTGCTCCAAGCTCACTCTCCAGCCAAAAGGGCCAGGGAGCAGGTGAGGAGAAAGGCACCTGCTAGAGATGTTCTCTATTGTTTCTGCTATGCAAAACCCCCAGAAGGAAGGCAGCTTTCTGGGGTGAAAGAATGGCAATTCTCTTCCCCATTAATCATAATGGTGTGACAAGCTGCACTTGCAGAAATGTCTTTGCTGCATCACAACGGAGCTTGCAGAAACGGGGTGCAAGTGTTGTACAAGGACATGGCTGGCTCAACCCTGGGTCATTGAATGACTCACAACTGCTGGGTTTAGCCAACACACTAAGCCAAAAACATGTTCTGTATGAGGCTGACTCTCCTTGGACTCCCACATCCTCCTGAATGCGCCAGACTGAAGAGTATGAATGGACCAGGAGTCTCCCCAGAGCAATTTGGTTGTCTGGTTGAGCAATCAATCACTGTCTTTGCACAAAACACAAAGAAATTGACCATTTTAGCCTAGCGTTTTATGGGAACCCTGCCTGGGTGGCTAGTTGATGGTACTATGTATTGAACCCCCCCCCCCCCCAATGGAGGTCATTTGATAAACCAGGGACAGGTTGTGTCCTCTGAACCCAGCTGAGGCTTATCTTTGAGTAATGATGCCCAGGGCTTCCCTAAACCACCTGGGTCTCATTCCAGATGTGGGAATTCCAAGTCCTGAGATTCACCACCCACTTCTTCTTGGGTCTTTCAGCTGCCAGAGTGGGGAGGAAGCAAAACGTTGGTTTGATGGTTTGGTGGAGTCCCTGCACGGCACAATAGGATCGGCTGTGTGCGTGTGGGTTGGCACGTGAAGCCAACTGTAGAGCATGGTGTGACCACAGGCTGTGAGCAGGGAAGAGGAAGGACTTCGTGTTCATATCCAAGCTCAGCCATGAAACTTCCTGGGGCACTGGAGCCCTTCCTTCTTTCCTTCCTCAGCTCACGGGGGCTCTGGTGAAGATCAGCCTGACCTGTCTATGGAAGAAAGATGGGTGGGAAAGAGACGCAAGTGAACAGAAGACTCTATTCCCCGAGGAATCCCCTGTTGCTATGAATGAATCCGTTGCGGGTTTAATTCGTCCGAGCCCAAACTTCTCGTTACTTCCAAAGGGAATTCCGCGCTGACCCAGCTCCAGCCGAGGAGCGCCTTCGCCGTCGGAGCCTCCGAGGGCCAACAGAAACGGCCTCCCTTCTCCTCTGCCCGGCGCTGGATTCCTTCACTTGCTCGCCGTGGAGCTAAATGGG